TCTCATGTGCCGGTGTCAGGTTGTCGGTTTCCTGGAAACTGATCTGCTTGACCCTCATACATCGAATCTCGACGGGAGAGTCGATTATAAATAAATAAAAACAAAAGGACAATTTTTATTTATTGATGTATTTCATCCTCTGATGGACTTTATCAAGTCAAATGTAAAGATTTTATTTTGCAACAAGTATTCATAAAGAGAAGTAAAAATATTGTTAGGTTTACAAAATTTTTAAATTTAAGGATGCTCATAAATATTCTTCAGGCTAACTGTGAAAGTCAAGATAAACTATGGAGGATGCTAAGTGGTGTAACTTATATATTTATTTATTCCCTTTTTTTTTAATGTAATTATTATTTTAATTGGATAATTAAATAGGGAATATATATACATATCTTTATATAAAAATTCAACAATAACAACATTTACTCACATTCATTTATCAGCCATTAAATTATATCACTTACTTAGCATCCTCTATAGATTAATTTGACTTAGTTATACACCACTGCATATTTAATCTCTTTCCAATTCATTCTACATGTTGGTTGGATCTTTTGCATAGGGGCTGCAGATATCACATCTGGTCTACAAAACAAATCCCATAAAAATCTAAAATACAATAGCCAATCATGAATGTTGCCACAAAAAAAAAGATCCTTGAAGCCACCAGATTTGCTTAAAGGAAAGCCCCTCAAAAATGATTGACACTAGTGGGCTCTCATTGTCACCAACATAACCATAGTCAATCCAATGTAATGGCAACCAGATTTGCCACTTCACTAATCCAACCCAGGCCTCTCTAATTGTTTAGCACTGCAAAGTTGTTCAACCAACCCACAAAATGCACCTGACTCTTCATATATTGGATGTGGCTGACAGGCCAACAGTTTCACTATCACACGTCAGGCCTCTCACATGGCCTTACCAACAATACCCTGATACCTAATCACTTCTCTTACCAACAGCAACTAAAGAACCATATATCACCAAATTTTCTATCCTTTTGCATTGCCTCACAGAAAATGGCAGTTGGCTGTAAACACTGATAACCTTCAAACAACTCCTGCAGCCAAACCAACCCCAAATCATCTTGCCTGTATTCTTTTGGATCTTCTTAGTACAGCCTAGATAGTGGGGCATGTGGTCTGAGTTGTGTATGGCCTCTATATATATCATTGCACAAGCCTACCCGCCTCCGGAGCAGTCACTCCAATTTCATCACCAAAGGACTGAATTTTGACAAAACTGGGTGCTACCTTTATCTTGCAAGATAAAGAGATGTATAGATTATTTAACTCATATGTAAATAAACAAGTGATGGTACTGTATAATTAGTAAATAACTGTTATATACCTTGAAAAAACACCACCTTTCCTTGTTTAGCAGCATCACAGACTCTGCAATATTACTACTATTCATTATTATTTTGAAGAAGTTTCTTATCAGAACAAAACTTATTATAAGTTTTTCTATTTTTTTATTCATTCACTCACTAGTAGTCTGATATATATATTATATATAATCAGACTATTAGACAAGTCTGAGTAAATGATTGGTTGCTTGATTTTGTTTAGTGGCATATCAACCTCTATAGTTTTTTTTTAAATTCTGGAATCTAAACATTTTGAATACAATTGTATATTTTCAACTACAGATAAAATGTATTGTTGGCTATTTTTGTTTTATACAAAAATGTATTGCTGGTATTTTTATACTTTCATAGTGTTTTGTTTTTGTTTGGTTGTTCACTATTTGCTCATAGCTGAGGCCCTAACATGTGCTACCATCCCAGGTCAAGGTGAACTGGGGACAACAATTAAGAGGTGGTTCCACACTCCTCAAAACATGCAATCTCCTGATCAGAAGCCTTCTTAATGGATGTAGTTTATCATCATACCTAGAACTACTGAATAAATGGATAGAAAAATAAAGACCACAAAGACAAAGAGGGTGGTAAAGGGACAAGAGTTACTCAGAGAAAAAAAGTCATGGAAAGCCATGATTGGACAGACCCTGTAAAAGTATATAAAAGATGAAATGGTGTCAAATAATTTGGGGAATAATGAAATAATTTTTATCTCAAACTTTGGATAACTTAAAATGCTATGGTACTAAATTTTCAATATTTTTGCTGAGAGGGACTTTGTCTTCTTTTCAAAGTTTATTTTAGCAAAAAGAAACATAGGTAGTATAACTGTTATCAAGCCACATTTATCAGAAGGCGGAATAGGCAAACCAAATTAAATTTTGACCTAGTCTGTTGTGCTCACTTTTGCAATTGAGAAAGGTATTAATCCATCTCTTCTTCCCTCTAGCTGTGAAGGTTCAAAAAGTTCTAAGCCTCACTGAGCAGGAGTTGGAGAAACAAGACAGTTTTTTACTATTTTTCAATGTAGTTGCCCTTGACATCAATGCACTTGGCCCAACAATGCTTAAGCATTGCAATCTCATCATGAAAGAAGGTGGCATCCTGGTCCTCTAAAAACTCCTTCACAGCACAAATGTTCTCATCATTGTTTCCAAAATGGTGAACACGCAGGTGGGATTTGAGTTTAGAAAACAGGAAGTCAGATGCATCTAAGTCTGGTGAGTGAGGAGGATGGGGTAGCAATTCAAAGCCATAGTTGGCTGATTCAGCTGCAGCAGCCTGAGCAGTGTGAATGAGTGCATTACCTTGGAGGAAGAGCACACCTGCCCACAGCTTCCTTCTTCATTTCAATTTGATTGCTTCCTTCAAGTGTCTTAATTCTGATGCATAGTACTTTCGATTAATAGTTTTTGCCTTTTCTAGGTAGTCTATCATGATTACACCTTAAAAATAAAAATAAAACAGAAGCCATCATCTTGCCAACAGACAGGGGTGGAGAACCAGAGTGCTTCCACTGCTTTGAAGCTTTGATTCAGATTCTTAGTAGTGAACCCAGGTTTCATCTTGAGTTACTAATCTGCAATAGAAATTCTCAGGATCAGCATTGAAGTGATTCAGAAATGTTCCGCAAATGTGAACACTTTTCAGCTTCTTCTCTGGTGACACCCATTCCTGGGCTGAACCAGAACTGATGTCTATGGATTTAGCTATTTGCTGAACAGTAAGACGTCTGTCATCCAAAACCATACGGTGTATGGCATCAACTTCTTCATCAACGTTGAAGGTTTTGGATGACCTGACCAACAGTCATCTTCTGAGCTGTCCCTACCCCACAATGATTCTGCAGCCCACTTCTTCATAGTTGAATAAGAAGAAGAGTCCTCAGTATGCAAAACATAGCTTATGTTACGAGGTTTATGTAGCGTGCTTGATAGTTTTCCTGTGACATTGGCTTCTCACAAAAAATTGCAAAAAACTGGGTTGTTTGTACTACTTAAAATAAAAACTTTTAGCAGATTTACTTCAAACATGTTGCAAAAAATTTGCTATCATGCAAGAAACAAGATAGTGTGATTTTAGTCCTGCTCACTTCCCCATATATAATGAAAAACCACAAAAAAATGTTCAAAATTGTTTTTCCACTGTAACTCCCTGGTTTTTCATTTGATGCTTTCCAAATTTGCCATGTAAGTTACATTTGACACACAAATTGTCTTGCATTAATGTTTGGCTTATGATGCAAAGATTGTTTGAGAAAGATTATTGAAGTGTCAAAAGGGAAAAATACCTGAAGAACCAGCTTTACAGTAAATGTGCGAAGGAGGAGGTGGAGGGCATTCATGCATTTGCACTTGATTCAGGTTCTGACACTTCATCCCTGTTTTTGTTTGATTATTAGATTTATGAACAATTCCATACAATTTGAATGTTATTACAGCCATTGGAAATTTACCGAATATCTAAAACATTGAAACAATTTAACCTTGAGCAATGACCGCACAAAGAGGTTTTATAGATGGAATTCCCTTATTAAGAACAATCAAACACTTGCGAAGGACATACCATAAAGAAAGATGAGGTGGGGGAGTAGCTTAATATACCAATGGATGATGCATGCAAGTGGAGTGCAGGTAGACATTTCTAGACAGGGGTGTGCAGGTATATGGTGCTGGGGGTTTACAATTGCAGCTGAGTACACTTGGGCAATGCAAGGTACCTCAGCTAGTGGATAATAAAGAAAAGAAATATGTGGAGAGCCATGATTGTCTATATCAGGCATGGGTATCCTTTTTCGAGCAGTGACCCATATGATTTATGGCTCATCACAAGATGGAGTGGACTACTTAAAAAATTCAAGGAAATTTTTCAAAGGCACCTCAGCTATTTTCACTACAGACAACTATATGCATAAGTATAGAACTTAGTGATGGGGGGAAAGTTGATTTTTTTTTCTTTGGAGAAGAAAATTTTCTATGATTAAGAAAAATATTGAAGTCTTGATATAATATGTTAGAATGAGTGGAGTTACTCCCTATGATATGAAAATGTTGTAAATGAGATTGCCACAAGGAAACAAGAAAAAAAATGTTAATGAGTTGGAAACAGTTGAAGAGAGAAAGACGATGATTAATTAGCATAATGACTGATGATAGTGTGATTACCGCATGTCACTGCATGTGATTTATTTCTAATTTCTTTTAAGAAAAATTATGAATGTTTCCCGTTTCAAAAGCAAAAATATTTATATGTATGATCTTACTTAGTGAAAATCACCAATTGTTTAAAATGATGAAAACATTATTTTCATAGAAAGTTTACAAAATTCAAGAAACCTTGTACTTAATCATTGTTTATGTATGCAGTTATGTTTTTGACAGTGTGAATAAGTGAGAATGAAACAAAAAAATTCAAGAAAAGTTATTTTCCTTATGAAATTAAGCATGCTGTTCAGAAAGATGATGCAGGCCGTAGTTTGCCTATAACTGGTCTATATCCTGAAAGGATATATTATTTAAAAAAAGGGAAATCTAGCAAAAAGAAAAAAAAACTTCATTTCCATTGTATAACTTGATATACAGCTTTCTTTTTTCTTTTTTTTTGAAAATTAAGAATTACAAATCCAACTTGCCATAATTTTTTTTGCCGAGTCCAAAAACATTGCCTGTCCAGCTTCGGTATTTTTCTGATGTAAAAGTTGCATGTTTTTAAAATCCGATTTAATTTCTTCGAGTCTGCGTTTAATTAGAATCATACGCGTCCGTGTGTTAGGTCCAAATATTGGTGGCTGGTTTGGATTGCTGCTGCTACTGCTGTTATTGTACATTGGTGACTGAGGCTTTTGTGACGGGACCATTCCTTGATAACCATGTTGGGCAGCACTGGGGATGTCTGACAAACCTGGTAATGGAAAACAAATCTCAGAGAACAACATTCACAAACAAATGAAAGCATATTGGAACAATGCAAAACATAATCAATATTATATTTACAAAGTATCCTCTGACTAAATAACAACCAATCTTCATAAAAAGAAAATCATCAAATCATATTAATGTTAGTAATTATTTTTATTTTTAATTATCTTTTTATTTTAATTATTTTTTGTCAAAACACATTAAAGTTGCAGTATAAAACCACAGTGGACTCTGCAGGTTGAACGGGTATCAGTATTAGGAATTTTCTAGCTACCCTGACAGTCAAGGGTGCTTAGAAGCAAGTAGTCAGCCATTATATAAATGAATAAATATACCTGAAGATTGCGTTATGCTATCGGTGAGGATAATATGCATATTTATGAACATATATACTTAATAGTTCTGTTGTATTGCATTGAGCACACTTTTATTAACACTAGCACTATATGTGCGATATATATATATATATATATATATATATATATGCAATTTTTTATATTATTTATATATTATATATGCGCGGTACTTATTGGAAAGTGCTCAATATCAGTGATAGAGCTAACATATTTAGGTGGATTGGTGTGAGTGAGTTTGTGACCCTGGGTTTAACACTATTTACGATTGTCAGACAAACTGATTAATTTTTAAATTTTGGTTTTATAATTGTCATTGGAACTCTGCTCATACGTACGCAAACATATTTGCAAACATATGAGTGGAATTCCGATGACAATTTTTCCTTCCACTACCATAAAAACACTGATATATGTAACCATATATAAATCCCAAATTTAAGAATTAATCAGTTTGTCTGCTGATCACAAATAGCATGAAACCCAGGGTCACAAACTCAACAATCCAACTATATATATATATATATATATATATATATATATATATATATATATACACACAGATTAATTTTTATTTAATTCCTGTAAATACACAATACAATTGAAAAATAATATTGTTTTTTTATTTGTCAAATTCAAAAGTGGACAAGGACAGAAAGAACTAAATAAAAGATTGTGCTTTCCAATAAATGATGGTTGGCAACTCTACCTCCAGCTGTCACTTATTTGTAAGGCTTAGTTGAATTGTACTGAGCCCATAAACAAAAGGTCCATCAATCAAAATGATCCTCTGCTACCAATTGTTAAATAATCTGTAATATAATACTCTGTATCGAACATTCAAATCACAGTAACTTAGAAAAAGTAATTCTCTTTCATCATCAGAGCTGTTTCAACTTAAAGGCATACTGTAAATAAGTCTGATTTCTCATCTTCAGCATAATTACTTGTTTCCAAAGATACCCATCTGCTCAAGCCCATTTATGTTTCAACACCTGTGGTTTATATTGCAACTATGTTGAGTGGACTTTAGTTACAGTGCAAGTATATGCTCCACAAAGGATACATATAGTTTTTAATTCAGAGTTGTTGTTCTACATTGGTTGCTGACTAGAGAGTCCAGTCTGCCCTATACAACTAAGAGGAGAATAGATGAATTTATACCTTTTCAAAGGGTACTTGTGTGAAAGTGAATACAACAATATTAACTGGAATTCAAACTCTGCTCAACAATTTCTCATTCCGAGTCTTTAACCATTAAACCATCTGCACATCCAATCCTCTTTAGTTTGAATAAATAACATCACTACCAATCGACTTTCTGTATGTCACTTCCTGTCTATCCAGTCAAGGAAAGTAATTCTATTCACCTTAACATTTGGGTGACTTATGGGACTTTGGGTCCTGTTCATAAATACAATGTCAAATCAATTCTTGACTTCTTAAAAGGTTATCTGTAATTTGTTTTTATTTACAAATATTTAGTTTGAAATTGTATATTACTTATATTGACCTTTTTCTTTTTATAGACAATTATCAATGATGTAAGCAATTTCAAACTTGATATTTGTAAATAAAAACAAAGTGCAGACAACTCTCTATGAAGTCTGGGATTGATTTGACACTATTTATATTATGAACAGTTCCACCTTCTGTGCTTTTAAAATGATAAAAAAATAAAAAATCAATATTTTTTTTATTCTGAGAAATTCCATGGCTCAAGGAAAAACTAATGAATGCTAATCTACAAATATTGTTAAAGAAAATTCCTCTACTTTTTTTCTTAAGTTGTGCTTAAAATTTAGATAAAATAACTGTTGGTGGATTTCTAAGCAATTTTTATTCTATTTCAAGTGAACAAAATTAATGTAGTTTGCTAAGCAATATTCAAAGTAAGAATTTAATAAAATGTTCAGATTAAAGTATTTTTTTAAAATAAAAGTTTAATCAAATGCTAATAAAATATTTATTAATGGAATTTTAAATTACAGGCCAAAGATTTTATAAAATATTAAAAGTTTAAAATATAAACTGACATTTCTAAAAGAAATATCTGATAAAATTCTATATAATAATCAAAACAAAAATTTTCAAGTCTTAAATAGAAGTGAAAATTTAAAAAAGATAATAATTTATATGACATTTAAATAAAATAATTGTTGGTGGAATTTTAGACAAATCAAAATATTCATTTAAACAAATTTTATTAATTCTTTTTCAAAATGGATGCCAACTCAAGAATGTTATTTCATTTACATTACATTGGGAAAACACTTGGATTTCTTTGTTTTAAGATAAACGAATAGGATAAAAGAGTTGGAATTAATAAAGGATATTTAACAATTAATTTTTTTTAATAATCAATTATCATATTTAGTGCATGAGCATATGCAGACACTCCTTTATTTTCAATTTTATTTTATTAAATCACTGCTACTAAGATGCCAGGGGTTACTGTGAGTGAAAGAGAATGAGAAGACTTTAATGAGGAGAAAAGACAATAAAAGAACAGGATATACAGGAAGGCAGAAGATGACAATTGATGTTGCATTTAAATTTTTGAAGATTGTGTCAGGAAAGCAATAACTAGAAGAGAGTTCTACAGATGAGAAGTGAGGAGAGAGAATAGAACTTATGGTTACATCTATCTATAGTAAATTGATAAAATATAGTCAATAGTAAAACCATGAGACCTAGTGCCAATCTATTAGTATGCTTAAATTCACACGGTCAAGATACCAAGGAGGAGAGCTTATTAAAACAACTGCCATGAAAATATTTATAGGAAAGCCACGTAATGGGAATGTGAGCCAAGATGCCAGATCAGGACTGATAGCCTTACAGGCATTTTTTTTGATTTTGTTGAGATTCTTGTGATATATAAAGGGAGCACCAGACCAAATATGGCAGCAACATTCAATGTACAGACAAATGGTTGACTTATAAGTGAGCAAGATTGATTAGATCTTCAAATAAACTTATTTATAAATTTAAATTTTTAAAATTGCACTGGTTTGAAAGTGCAATGTCTGTGTAATAAATGGAATTAATACAGTTGCATTACACATATATTTAAAACTGGCTTAAAATCTGCCCTTTTAGGCATCATTTAAGATAGCTCCTGTAGAGGGCTCTTGATTGGGTGTTCATCACAATAGGTAGTGAGGAGTAGATGCAATAGACAACAATAGACTACAGAAGAACTCAAAATTGATCACTGCTTATAAGTATTCCATTAATATTTAAACTTACCTTTTATAATTTCAGCAAAGAGATGAACTATTGAGATTTGTGTCCCTTTAATTGAAAAAAGTGTGACACACTGACATTGGCATTTATTATTGATGCAATGGAAAAACCTGTCATCTCCATACCAAGTAACTACCTATAAGTATCTGTAAATCAATGGACTACAGAAACTAGCTGGGATCTGTTGAGTACAACTCAGACTTACACGAGAACTACTGACCTTCCAATAGTGCACTCACTACTGGATTGACTTGCAACAACCTTGTGCATAATTGTTACCCTTATTCTTATTGTACTGGTTTTAAAATTAACATTTACTTAGTTTATCCACCTTGTTTTTCAAGTATATATTCCTATTAACATGGAATATAACAATTATATAGAAGAAACAATTCTTTTTAGAGCATCTAAAACACATAATGTGTGTAATGTTTATATGTATAGATTGTTGCAGCATACCTACAGACGATAATGGGTATGTCTCCATTCACATAAATACAGTAGTATGTTGGTCTGCAGTTGGAGATTCATTGTAGAATTCACTTGACTCACTTCTAGCAGTTGACTACTTCTTCTATGTGCTACTGATGAATCTTATATGTATTGTTCATGTTCTAAGTATTATCATTCATTACCAACCTTTGGGTGATTATTCTATTCAGTAACCTTCCCAAGATTACAATATATATGTTCCAAAGATTGTCATATTGAAGGTGGTAGTGGGGAGAAACTTCCACGACATGCATCTCAAATAGCCTCTGACAACTAAGTCCAGTACCAAGCCAGAGAAAAGGCAAAGACAAACCATTGGCACTTTATAACCATCTGCTTCAGACAGATGGAGCTCATCATCCTGGGAAGGCAGGCCATCTAGGGGAAGAAAAACCCTAATGTTAAACCTCCACAGCTTTGCAGTCACATCCAAACATACAGAAGAAGCACCAAAACATATGTGGTAGCAACATTCAATGCATGGATAAATGGTAGATTTATAAATGTTTAAGATAGTTTCTGGTGAGAAAGATTGTCTATCATGAGAGAGTGAACTAACTTTCCAAGCAGCAGACCTAACAACTGATTTAATATAATATATGCTCAAACAGTAGGAATGAATGGTAATTTTGTGTAAACTCAATGGAGGTACCCATGTGATAATCCTGGGGGTTGTGAACAGTGAGGCCTATGTTAGGCCATCCCACTTTTTCCAAAAGGGCCTCAAGGTTACCTACATTGTTGCTTGCTATGGTAGTCAAGCCCTGAATTGTTAATTGCAGGCTGAGTTACAAATACTGACATTTACTAATATTCCCCAGGAATTGTATATTAGTAAGTTGTCCCAGTCTAAACTGCCTTATACATATACAAAACTTGGAAATCCACT